GATATATCATCCTTTTTTCTCTTTCATTCTTCAATCTGTATGTCAGCCATCGTCCAGGTTTGTTGGCTTGTTCACAGTAATTTTGTCTGGCTGCTTTAATTTTCTGGGCTAGTTCCTTTTGAGTTATTAAGTTCATCTTATGTTTTTTCATCTCTCTTTTTTCTTTTTTAATTTTATTCTTTGGGTCTTTCTGTAGTTCATCCTCGGCTTCCATAAGTTCTTTTTGCATACATTCTTGTTGCTCTTTTTGTTTTCTAGTTTTTCTCGCCATGTAGGCAATTGTAAGGCCTCTTGTGTATGCTTTCATAGTATCCCAGAGATTTTGAATTGAGGTGTGTTCTTGATGTTTCTTCCTTGACTTTCTTGACTTTCTAGGTCCTCTTTACTTCCTTATTCTTCTTCCCCTTTGCAGTATTCTTCATAGAATCTCTGCGCTTCTTCTATATTCTCTATCTTATATCTTTTTCCTTGTCAAGATACCAGTACCCCTTTTGGTACCAACCATCTGTACATTATTCTGTTTTTAACTGATTTGTTAAAAATTGGTATTGTCTACGTTGTTCACGAATTCTCCATGGAATCTGTTTAAGCATGATCAACTCTTTTCCCTGTAATGTAATCGTCCCTTCTCTGGTATTTTTGGACACTTCATCTCTAGTTGTTTTTTAGCAAATCTTATAAAAATTTAATTTGCCTCTTCAAACTCCTTGGTGCATCTTATACTCCGGTGCGTCTTATACTCCAAAAAGTATGGTAGCTATCATCACTTCAACTTACATTTCAAATAAACAAAGTTTATAAAAACACAAGAAAAACCCAGTTGGATCACACCAAAACCTATTTATCCAAAATGCTGTGTCATACAGTGGTCAACTGAAAATACAATATTATGGACAGGAGGACAATAGCCTATTTCTCCTTGCAAAGCCTGAATGTTTCATTAAATATCATAGTTTCAACTGATGGCCAGTTTTAACTGATAGCTAGCTTTATAAACTGATTACCAACTCTATAAAAAGGCACTTTAGCTACAACAGAACAGAATCTGGGACCTCTCTGACAACTAGTATTGCCTATGAGCTAATACACATATATCAATGATAGATACTGCAAAAGTGTAAAGATCCACTCAGTTGACAACGCAAGTAACATCTTTGATGACAGTAGAAAATCAGTCTCAATGTATATGCGAAATCAAAATTGATTTAATAATAACCTTCTTTTAAATAGATTAGATCGAGATATTGAGGTGGAAGACTTTCAACGCTACCCTGAGAAAGTTCATGCATCTCTTTATGGATGTCCTGTGGAATCTCCTCCAGTTGCCCTTTTTCATAAAAAAAGAAAAAATTCCTCCAAAGCTAAGGAAAGCCATAGCAAAAGGGTGAGTGAGTGTCCACATCGGGCTTACAGCTTTCTAGATAGGAACTGATGCTAACCAATAGCAGACTTCTTTGAGCCACTAGTGCAGACTCTAAACTTTTTTTAATTGAAAGACACTTCAATGTAAATTTATCCTGTTCAAAAGTTGTAATTTTTAACAAATGGTACAGTATGAAAAAAGAAAAAGAACTGCAGGAAACGACAGTCATACTAACACATTCCACATTGCTTTGATTTAATACATTTCCCATATCCTTTACATCATTATTAATGCTATTTACAATCCTGCTTTTATCTATTTAAAAAGTATATAAAATGTATTAAGTAGTTACGCCTAGGTACTTGGGGAAGTAGTGGACTCCGTTTTACTTACTGTTTTCCCTTTGGGTTGCTTGTCAGTGAATTTCCATGTATGTATAAGCTGGGAAGGCCAGGATCAGCAGCTTAAGCTCTGCTCTGAGTTGCATGACCTGACAAGGAATCAAAGACTGAAGTACTTGGCAGCATTCAAAGCCACTGCCCAACTGCCTCTCCCCCAAGGATTAATTTTCTAGAGGGCTTTTCTTCAAATTTGGTCTCTCTTTGTTTTTGCCAGCTTCTACCTCCACGTCACATTCAGCCCTATTGTTTTCATTTTGGGGGGCGGGTTATCAGCAGGTTATCCTGCCAATGGAGAAAGTTCTGAAACTCTTTCCAACATTCCATCATGTTGGAGCAAACAAAATAAAGATGGTGGTAACTGAAAGATCTTCACCTATCAAAGATTAAATGTGGCCTGCTTGAGTTCTCAAATTGTACCTGTGCTCCATTATAGCACCTGCCTATGCAATTTTGATATTACTCACAGCTAAGTCATCCAAATAGTATGACGAAGTGAAGTATAAGACCGGAGCCACACTTACTGAAAAATAACATACAGGAATGTATGCAGAATGAAAACTGTGCCTGTCCAGCAGCAATTTGTTGATTACATTCATTTGTTTTGTTTTGTTTGAAGGCTGAAAAAAGTAAAAAAGGAACATCCCCTTTTTCATCTGTCATAAATAAAGGAGAACAAGAACTGAGAAATCAGAGGGACCCACACTGCCATTTCTCCAACAATCCGAAAGCAACTGTACAGGCATATCTCTTTGGTGGGACAGCAAATAGCCGGCAAGAGTTTGATTACTTACCAGAGGATTTCTATGAAAGGTAATCATATTTTAATATACCTATAAAATATTAAATAACTATTCACATATTTGCAAATTATTAAATTAATTTATTAGATCTGTTGCCTGATTCCAAAATTGTTTATATATGTACAAGTATGTATCTAACAAAGAGACCACTTCCATCCTACTGCAAAGCCAGATATTCAAGTCTTTCTGGAATGCCATCATAAATGGGAGCCACACTACTCTCTGATGGATGTCGTTCTAGAGGACTGGGGTTGCAACATAAAAGGCATAATGCCTGGCATTATGTAATCAAAGGAACCCAAAGCATGCCGGCTTTGCCAGCATGTACCAGATGAGATACACTGTGAAAGATACCTGGTCCCTCAAGTAACAGGGCCCTACAGGATTACCTGTAACTGGGTATATCAGTTAACACAAATAAAAACTGCTTTTTTTTTGACATTATAAACTGTTCTCCGGAGGCAGCATTTCATTTCTTTTTCAGCTTGTGAATGGAAATCAATATCTCTTTCATAGAAAAATGCCATTTTTGTTTACCAGATCTCAATTCTCCATCAGTCTAAAGACTCATTCATCCCATGGAATGATTTTCTATATTGCGGACCAAGCAGAGGAACATTTCATGGCCCTCTTCATTGCCCATGGACGACTTATTTATATGTTCAATAGAGATCACCAGAAATTAAGAATCCGAACCCAAGAGAAGTACAATGATGGCCAGTGGCATAATGTAAGTTGAAATCGAAAGATCCAGGTAGAATCTTTATAAGCTTTAAAAAAGTATCGTTTACCCCCCGAATAAGTATATTTATAAATTGATAGTTAATTGGAGTTTTAATGCACTAAAATGTTGCACCTTCCAAAGATCAGGAATAAAATAGGCCATCTTCCATCTATGCAGTTTCTGTATCAAAATGTTATGGAGAAAAATAATTAAATTTCCAAACCTTTTTATATACTTCTGAGAATATACTTTAATTTTTGTCATATCTTATCTTTTAAAAATATTGAAAAGTACACTAGTATTGCAACAATAAAGATAAAAATAAGGAATAAACACCAGCAAAAAACTAGAGAGCAACAATTCACAATGAAAATATAATCCAGTAACAATATAAATGTTTGTGCGTGCATGCGTATGCACTACTTATCTGTTCAGAAATAAGTCTCTTACGCACTGCACTGAACCAGCTTCTTATTTTATTAAGAGGCAAATTTTTACTTTTCACACTAAGTTGAGAAAGCAATAGAAATACTAGAAAAATCTCAACAGCCTTTTCTATTTAAATAACTTGAAAAAGCAAACAGGATAGATGACTAGCTATCACAATATACTCTCTGCAAATTACAATGACATCTTTTCCATTATCTTCAACATAAACATGTTGTTGTGGTTGTTTTTAAAAAGGTAATGTTTGTTCGAGAGAAGAATATTGGTCGTTTGATTATTGATGGCCTCAGAGTACTAGAAGACAGTCTTCCTTATTCTGATAATACATGGCCAGTTACTACTCCTTTCTACATAGGAGGTGTGGCACCAGGGAAAGCTGCTAAAAATATCCAGGTAAATACATTTTTCTATAATAAATGTTTCTTTTTGGACGTTTATTTGCGAGAGTTAACAGAATCATAGTTGGAAGGAGTCATAGAGATCATCTACTTCAATAATCTCTCGACAGATGAACATCTAACCTGTTTGAAGCCCAAGAGAACTCACTGCCATGCATATGGCAGCCTGTCCCACTGGGTGACAACTTGTAGTCAGGAAGTTCTTCCTGATGTCTATGCGGAACTGCCTTCATCATAGTTTTTTTTTTATTCTCCTCTAATACAGAGAATCACTAACTTGTAATCACATTTGAGACCAGACTTTCCATTGCTAAGTAAGGCGATTCTTAAGTGAGTTACATCCAATTTTACAATTACCGGCCATTACCGGGGAAGGAGGGCTCGCTACGTTACAGAGATCCCTCCTTCCGGCCCTATGAGTCCCACTCCAAGGCCTGATGGCGTGAGACCAGACTTTCCATTGCTAAGTAAGGCGGTTCTTAAGTGAGTTACATCCAATTNGTATAGAATGAAGGCTGCCAGTATTATTAGACCCAAACCCAATGTCTGTAGCAACCCTGCCATGAGACAAGTAGCATTTATGTGGATCAGCAACCACAAGCAAAAATGAGTATTTGAACTCTAGGGCAGTGATGGTGAACTTTTCTGTCCTCACATGCCAAGATTATGTGTGCGTGTGCCCCACACCCACAATGCTATGTGCCCCATCTATCTGCCATGCACGTGTGACCCATGCAAGGGGGGTGTTTTCACCCTGCCCAGATTCTGGAGGCTTTCCTCAAGCCTTTGGGAAGGCAAAAGCGGCCTTGCCCGGGCTCTGGAGGCCCTCCAGAAGCCAAAAACACGCCCGTTTCTGAACCTCCAGAAGTCCTGTTTTTTGCCCTCCCCAGGCTCCAGAGGGTTTCCTTGAGCCCCTGGGAGGGCAAAAATGGCCTCCTCTGGGCTCCGGAGCCCCTCCTTGAAGCCTCCTGGTACCAAAAATCTAGCATGCACTCCCCCCACCCCCTGTGCATGTGCATCTCCCGCGAGCACAGCAGACCCGAAAATCTGCTGGCCAGAGGGAAGCACGCATGCATGCGTGGTGGACCTATGCTGGGTGACGGCTCGCCTGCCTGCAGAGAGGACTCCGTGTGCCACCTGTGGCACACTTGCCATAGTTTCGCCATCACGGCTTTAGGGAACAAGTGGAAGCAAGGCAGAAGTTTCCTTCATGCACCAGTCCTACATCTCTGGAAAATTAAAGTTATTAATTTTCAATTCCTGCACCTCTTTGTCCAAAATGTTTCTAGGACATCTTGGCTAAAGCCTATTAAGCCTAAATTATATATTACCAGAAGCAGGTCAAAGCTGAGAAATAGATTAGAGAATCGCAGCTTTCAGACACTCTCCTACGTGGAGGCTGCCACCTAGTGAGCCATTCATCAAATTCAACATTCAAGAAATAAGTGCTTTGTAAGATAAGATGGATCTATGGGATGTTAAGAAAGCAATCCAAGTATATTGTCAACTGTAGGGAAAAATTGTTATAAATACAAAAAAAAAAAAGTGCTAACAATGAGACAGTTTCTCACTTGTCAACCAAGTTCCTTTAAAGATTTCCTCATGAGATCTGTGTTCTCCGCAGGCTTGAACTTTTGGTAGATGAAAAAAGACAAAGCAAAAATAATCCAGCAAAGGATGCAGCTGAGATAAAGCCTGTAAGCACCAAGAAATTTTACTTTGGAGGCTCACCCCTCAGTACACAATTAGCAAACTTTACTGGCTGCATAAGCAATGCCTATTTCACAAGGTGAGAGCATTTGGGCTTTGGGGGCGGGGTCCTTTTCTTGAGCCATGATATTGCTGCCTTAGGGGGGGAATGTGTTAGCTTCCTTTTTAAAATTAATATTTTGCTATATTGTAAGTGATTATTGTTTTTTCTTTTGAAGGAAAGGAATCTACATCAGAGGAAAAACAAATGAACTCACTATGGGGTAATAGCTTTATTAGAAGCGCCCCAAAGGTCACATAACAATGAGCAGGTTTTGGAATTCTCCTAAATCCTTCATTAAGAGAGTTTTATAAAAAATCATGGGAGTGGAGGAGAGAAAGAGATAGATGGATGGATGGATGGATGGATGGATGGATNCTCCCTCATTATTGTAAGCCGCCCTGAGTCCCCTCAGGGAAAAGGGCGGCCTATAAGTGTTCAATAAAACTCAAACTCAAACTCAAACTCATAGGATGCTACAAGCATCATAAAAATACATGATGGTTGCCAGGTAGTCTGAATTTTGATCATGTGATTGTGGGGATGCTGTAATGGTTATAAGCGTCAGGACTGATCACAAGTAACATTTTTCAGTGCCATTGTAATTTCAATCAATCGCTAAACAAATGGCTTTAAGTCAAAGATTACCTGTAGAGCAATATTTCTCAATCTTTTCCATTTTAAGATCTGTGGACTTCAACTTCCAGAATTTTCCAGCCTGCATGCTAGGTGGGGATTTCTGGGAGTTGAAGTCCACATATTTTAAAGTTAACACAGTTGAGAAATGCTGCAATAGGCAATCTATTGATTAGCCTGCTATCATTAAGCCTTCTTCACAAACACCTTGATTCTGTCTTGGCTTCCTTGTATTTTAGAAACACGTGGTACTGGCTATATACACTAGTAGTAATATACCAGTAAGTATTTAAATGAAAGTTTCTATCTGTTTCTTTGTTCAACTCTGTTTCCCTAGATTAACTCAGTGTACAGTTTTAGTGGTTGTCTTGGCAGTCTACAGCTCAATGGAAAGCCGGTCACTTCTCCGTCGCAGACCTTCAGTGTAACACCTTGTTTTGAAGGACCATCAGAAGAAGGAACCTATTTTTCATCCGAAGGGGGATACATTATACTTGGTAATGAGTTGTTCTTGTGGTATTAGTGGTGGTTATTAAACCTTTAGATAAATGCCTATGGTTACTGATGCAAAGAGATGGGAAAATATATACTTAGGATTATTAGTCAGTTAATTATTTTTAAATTACTCAGCGTGTTCTGTTATATTTCTGGCATATAATGGCCTAAATTTCCAAACAATTTTGCATTACATCAAAGGCAGAAATTCTTACATAGTATAATCAGTATTGTCATTCTGCTGGTTTCCTGATCAGAACATAAGTTCTCAAAACCTAATGCTCTCCCTATGCATAAAGACAATTAAACCCCAGAATAAATTAAAATATTGGCTTGAGTTCTGGGTTTATAGTTCCAATATTTGGGAGGACAGCATTAGGCTAAGGAAGTAATTATTAACACAATACTATAATATCACCATAGCTCAAGTAAAGATGCAAATTACCACTAAACATTATTAAGTATACAGCAGCATGTTGGATAAAGCCATACCAAGACTATACTGGGGATTATATTGGGTATTGCTTCATTAACACAAATTAACCATCAGCAGATTACAAGTTGAGAATCTGCTAAATACTGCATGAAAGCAAGAATTATACAGCATATCTAAAAGAACTAAGAATTTTAGAAGAGCATAATATTGAAGAATTGCATAGTCACTGAAATTTAAAAAATACTTTTAAATTTCCAGAGTTAAAAGAGATTAAAAGGATCTTTAGTTATTGTTTCATCCTCTACAGCATGTGAATAATGTGAATAATTTCATGTGAATAATTTCACAAATTAACTTTAAATAAAATATTGTGTGACTTTTCCTTGCAGATGAATCATTTAGCTTGGGCCTGCAATTCGAAGTTGTTTTTGAAGTCCGCCCTCGGCGCAGTTCTGGAATACTAATGCATGCACATAATGTAAATGGAGAGTTCCTGAATATACATATGAAACAGGGGCAGGTATGAGAAAGGACCAACCACTCCTCCCTATTTTTACATTGATTTTTCAAAATCAGATTTTTCCACCTTTTTGTCAAGCACCTTGTGTTCCTTATTTTTAATATCAGCAAAGTTCCAATTTCTGAAATAAGTAGTAATGTTATCAAGCGAACATTTTTATAGCATGTTCCAAAAATATCTCTGCTCAATTGAAACGTGTGGATAGTTGAGGATTTTTAAAACTAAGTGTAAGTTAGGAGGGAAACCATAGAATTGCCAAGAGCAAATAATTAAATGTTTTTATAAAATAGCTTAGGGAAATGACCCCAACTCTTTTTAAAGATTTCATAACATAATGTATTTAGTGCTCATTGGTTCTGAGAATCAGGCGGCTTCCTATTGCACTTAAAAATAAATGTTGCAAATCTGATTTGAATGCTATAGTAGTGCACTTAATATTAACAATAGGCATTCATAGAGCACATTCACATTTCATTTTACCTGTCCCTGATCTGCCTACTGCTATAACACTCAGCAGTCTTTGGAGAAAAAATCTGTCTGGATTAAGAAACTATCTTCCATTCTATCGGGTTTCTCCATCATTTTGCAGTAATTTGAGACAGAAATTTTACCATCCAGCCTCACTTAAGCCAATGAGTCTGACAAATTAAATACAGAAAGCCCAATCCCATTACCAGATAAACCAAAGAGATGATGTCCACTTCTATCTTCCAGAAACTGTTGGTTGACTGACAGTACTCACAACAGGGCAAGTTAGCAGTGCAGATGTGTTGAGCATAGTATGTTATTTCTGCAAAGCTGCTTTTCACTTATGGAAAAGGCCACCAACTGGGAGCAGTCAAGAGGAGCTTGACTACAGATGAATGTGAATGTATTGGAGTAGCCAGAAGACCTTTGCAATGTAATTCTAAATGAAGCTAGAGAGAAATACAACAGTGGGTCTAAAGCTTTTGCCAGCAAAGGCATAGTTTCATTTTTCCAACCTCAACCTTTCCGGATATAGCAGAACTAAAAATTCCCTAATCAGGGTAGCTCTGGAAATTCTAGTCATGACTCACCTGGAAGATGCAATTTTGAAATGATCCAATGTGTGGATGGTTAGGTTGCTGGACTTTTCAACCTATCTTGCTTATATAACACTTTCTTCCATTTCATCTCATGCTTATTAACTAACCCTATCTGTTGGGTATATTTTACCTTGAATAATTTCAAACATTTGATGGTTAAATGCATAATCTTCAATTAGCACATTTTAAAGCTTTTTCTTACTTTTTTTTCTTATTAACCAATTACATTAAAACAAATAATGCCTAGTAAAATATATATTTAATTGTACCGTATATCTATTATAAAGCATATATTATGTGTTGTATAACATACTGTTCATGTATTGATAATCATAATCCTACCTATCCAACAATTACTGGATTTGATAGGCTCTTCTCCACACTCAAATTGCATGTATAAATGCCTGTATAATGAGTAAGAAGTAAACCAGCCTTCCTTATCTAAGTACCAAAGCACAGGGGAAGAATCTTACATTTATAGTGTAAGCCTTAAGGCTGGTGAAAAACATTTTGTTTTAAATTTTTTAAGATAATATTTTAAATAATATTAAGATTTTAAAGCTGAACTCAATTACTTTACCAGGTTATTGTGAAATTGAACAATGGCATTAAAGATTTTTCAACTACAGTTACACCAAAGCAAAGTCTCTGTGATGGCAGATGGCACAGAATTACAGGTGAGTCAACACCAACAGCTCTGCAATGGTTGTTGTGGATTATTTCTTTAGTTTAAACCATCTAAGACAGTGGTGTCCAACCTTGGGAACTTTAAGACCTGTGGACTTCAACTCCCAGATACTGAAGAAGCCTTAACCAGGGCACAATTAGACAAGTTGGTATTTTCAAAACCTTTTTTTAATCTGGTGGTTTGGGATATGAAAATACATTATCTTCTTCTTGTTTTGCATAATAGTTATTAGAGATGCTAATGTGATACAACTGGATGTTGATTCAGAAGTGAATCATATTGTGGGACCATTAAACCCAAGAGCAATTGACCATAGAGAGCCGGTATTTGTTGGAGGAGCACCAGGTAAGATTAATTACTATCACTTTATTTTTGAAAATTAAGACAATGGACTATTTAACTTGTTTATTTGGATTTATTAGTCCACCAGTTCCAATGAACACTTTAAAGCAAAAAATATTCTATAAAAGTGATGTCATATTGACTTTCCAAAAAATACACAAAACGGTTGCTTTCTTTAAGGCTATATGGCTATATGATTACCAACAGAAAACATGAGCATTATTAGGAACTTGGTGTTTAATGCAACTTTTCTTTGATAAAGCTGAGGACTTTATAAACATGTACTGTAATAACATTTATTTCTTATGTCCAAAGAGATACTATCAGAGATGTTATCTACTTAATGCTCAATAATTTTAATTTTTTATGATTTAGGTTTTGAATTATTTCCCACATGTACTGGATGCATGTAAAGATATGTCCATGTGCCTTGAATATTCATTAATACCACTAATTAAATATGCTAATAGAATTCATCACAAGGGAAAATCAGAAGCCAACGATCTTATAAACAATAAAAAGATCCAAATCTCCTACCTACCATATCTGCTAAGAGCCATGGTGGCGCAGTGATTAGAATGCAGTATTGCAGGCTAATTCTGCCCAGTGCCTGTTCAATCCTGACCAGCTCAAGGTTTACTCAGCCTTCCATCCTTCCGATAAAATGAGGAACCATATTGTTGGGGGCAATATGCTGACTGTAAATTGCTTAGAGAGGGCTTAAAGCACTGTGGTGGTATATAAGTGTAATTGCTATAAGTGTTAAATGCTATTTTAAAAGGAACATGTTTATCATATCATTTCCACCCCTTCAAGTAGGAGTCTCCTGATCTTGAGTTTTCTATGAAACTTTCTCTCAAATCCTTTTTCTAATGCCTTTCTCCAGATCCAATCTACAACCTTTTCTTTAATTAGCTTCAGAATATCTAATACTGTTTCAATAAAAAGTTGAATTTACTAAAAAAAATGTAAAACCCCACAGAAATGCTACTAAGCTGAGCTTAGAAATGGTACTAAGTGTATGTTAAAAGTTTCATATTCCAGTTAAAGCCATTCCAAGCATGTACTTGCATTTAGATACTATAATGTCACTTGTGAACAATTTGTGGCTAATAATGTTTTTTCTTCACAGAAGCTTTCCTGACATTCAGCCTGACCACACGTAATTCTTTTACTGGATGCATTCGTAACTTTATGATTGATGAAAGGCCAGTGATTTTCAGTAAGGCAGCTTTGGTCAGTGGCGCTGTGAGCATCAATGTATGTCCTGCTATGTGAAACACTGGTACTACAAAACTACAAGGATATATAGCACTGAAGCAGCAGCAAAAGCTGTGCAGGGTTTAATTTTCAGTATCAGAAGAATTAAAATATATCACTCATTTTAAATAAATGATATAGCATAAAGCTTGCAATCATTAAGAGCTTTGTACACTTTTTTTTTTTTTTGGAAATGCAGATTCCTAACCTGTGTTAGAAAAAAACATCGCTGCAGTCTTCTAACTGGGGAATGAAAGTGATCAACCCAGTGGGAAGAAATGTAAATCCACTACTGTATAGTAACAATCACAGGCATGCCTGACTTTGCATTTGTCAGCATTTCAGGAGCAAATGACTTAGCAACTGTGGGTTTCAGCTTCAATCCACAAAAAATCATTTTATTATCCCATCAGAAGTTTGATCAGAAGTTTGATAATAAGCTGCTGTTGGAATGTCCAGGTGCTATGTCTTGGGATAAATTAATTCTGTTCACGGTGTTTGCTTTGCTTCATGTATCTTACAGAATAAACTATATAACAGACATGTTTCACTAAAACAGTATCTTCTGGGTTTCCTTTTCCTATACATTTTTGTTCAATTATCGTAAAGTAGTATGGGTTTTGTTCAATTTCCAAAAGTGAAATTAAAAACACCAGTTGACATAAAAACATTTTTAAATAAATATGAATGAAACAAATAAAATGTTGTTCTATACAAATTTCTGGTGTAGGCATTTGTTCATAACAGTGTAGGAAAAAAAATCCATTCCAGTTCCAAGCTGGGGGAAAGACACAGGAGTCAATGAATTGGGAGGCAGGCTGCAGGAAAAGTCTCCATTTATGTAGGAATCAGAAGGGAAGTGATTCAGCATTGGTTCTGGGACAGCTGACAGCCTAACATGGATAGTAGAGTGATTTTATACCCTGTTGGACCTATGAGATTGAGATGGCTGGTGGGTTTATTTTATTAGACTGCATTCTGTATTCTAATTGTCCCTTTTGGTTTCTTGGGTGGTGGTTAGGGTCAAGGCTTGGGAAAGGTGGGAATGCAAATTATATGTGGCTTTATGTTTAATACTTAAGTATTAAATACTTAATCCTGTCAATTCAGCCTATCTCAGTCTTCTAATGGGGGTTACTGGAGGCCATTCTGGCTCAGAGGCAGGTATTGCTTTAGCTTCTATAGATGGGTTTTTTTGTCCTCACTGGTGGCATGGAAATAAAGGGGGGTATCTTATGATTCTTCCTACAATGCTTCATATTAAAGCAAAAATCACCCCTCATTATTCTAGGAATTAGGCCTCCTAAATGTGAATTCAAATTGTAGATTAATATTTGAAAAAGTTCCATAAAAACCCCCAGCCCCAACCCTCCCCTCTCTCCCCACCCCATCCCAGCCAGTCCACAAAGCCGGAAAGATTGGGGAACTCTGAACTAGATTATCTTGGCTTTTACAAAATCATTGCAAAAAAATCATGTTCAGTTCTTACCTTAACTAATTATGACATTAGCAATATTTGGTTTACATGAAAATTTATACAAGCTTAGAACATTAAGTATTATAAACAGAGAAGAGAGATGAGCAATCAAAATTCTTAAGAGTGGTATAGCTTAATGTAGTCATGTTTTCAACGAGGAACAGGACAAGAGACCATCCTAACATATTTCTGGTTTCAGACCTTAAATTGGATTAAATGGCCAGCTGCTAGAGCAGCTTAAATCAGTATGAGTGCACATATTTGAAGATTATGATACAGATTTATCCTTTTCTTATATTCAGCTCAGATTAAGTGAATGCCTTGGCAAATGGCAGCATGTTATTAACCAGGTCAGTCAGGCCAAATTCTGATTTACAGAAAACACCTTAATGGAATACAAGTTTTATATGCTAAACATTTATTTATTAATCAAATAGTAAAGAAACCCAAACCACATAACAGGAAGAAACCAATAGTAAGCCATATTGTTTTAAGAATATCTTACTTTTTAAGATGTTCTATGGAAGTATGTTTTTGAGGAGACTTCAGCTGTTCTTTGTGCTTTGTCCTAATCATGAAATGACTGAAATCAGGGAAACAATTACAATGTTCTATTTACTAGTATTAATCATTGATTTTTTTTTAATGTTAGGAAAACAATCCATCATTTCTCTGTCAAAACAATGAATTGAGAAGCCACAAAAATCCATATCTAGTGATAATCTAAAATGTTTCACGGGGTTATGAACATATATATACAGACATAACTTGCTTCACTATATTGCACTTTGCAGGTATTGCATTTTTTACAAACCCCTCCACCTACAAAAAGCTTGTGACTGGTTGACATTTCAAATGATTAACAGTTTTTAAAAATAAGTATTTTAAATTAAGCTAAGCATATTATACACTTAATAGACTTAAATGCAAAATGTAAACCTAACTTTTATATGTACAGGGAAACCCAAAAAGCTGACTGCTACTGGTATTTTAATATTCACATATTGCACTGGTCTTAAAAACAAACCACTCTTGAAGTATGCTTGTATGTTACAATTTAAATAGTAAAATAAAGACTTATATAAACTAGCATCAAAATTATTTTAAAATAAGAATGTATTCTACCTCTACGATCTATTTCCACTCAGAATACTATACAGGTAATCCTCCACTTACAAGTTAACAGCCAGGTTACTAACTTATCAACTGCAGTAACCCACTTAACAACTGTGGCAAAAAAAGTCATAAAATGGGGCAAAACTCACTTAACAAATCTCTCACTTATCAAAAGAGATTTTGGGCTCAACAGAGGACTAGCCATACTCTTTTAGAGCCGAGGTGGCGCAGTGGTTAGAGTGCAGTACTGCAGGCCACTTCAGCTGACTGCAGTTCTGCAGTTC